GGGACGAGCTTGCTTCGATGAAGCCCTTTGAGAGGTTTTCCAGAATGTACTTGCGAACCGCCTCCAGCTCGTCCAGGGACATCTTGTATAGGGGGCTGTAGCCGAGTTCTTCGGGTCGATGGCCTTCTTCGAGCTCGATCTTGTGGTCGCAAGGTCGATGCTCAGGTAGCCTGTTGGAGTCGTATTTGCTGAAGACTTCGATTTCGTCGTGGTATTCGGGCGGAACCGTCCGGAGAGCTTCTTCGCGGAGCTCTTTTTCGTCACGGGGAAGCGGTTCCCAAGCAGGGTCGTCGATGACTCGTTTCTGTTGGATAAATCGGTCGATTTCGAAGATACTCGTCGAGTAGGTCGTCCGGTTCTCCTTCCTGACGGAACGCATGAAGAGGTCGCCGTCTAGCACACACATCTGAGTAGGGCGATACTTGTACCATCCCGTACAGTTCCGCTTTAACTGGTAGGTACCTTGGGTATCTGACCCCCATTTGCCATCAGCGGACTGTTCTCGGTAGCGGGGACGCGGCTTGGGTTCTGGAGACAACACCATAAGGTGGGTGAGGTTAGCCAAGTTCCGTTCCATTTTGCTCAAAGGATCAGTCTTCTTGAGAATCGCGGTGGGGTTCTGGAGAAGATAACGCGGTCGGGCATAGCCCAGCTCTCGGTGTCCTCATCTTGGGTGTACTGGAGATCCGCTGGAGTGATGGGAACCGTCCGGGGTTTAGAGTCGGACGCGGCCTCAAGCTCCAGAATCCGTTTCTCGATTTCTTTCTGGTATTATCGAGCCTCACGGCGATATTGGTCGCAGGCTTCAAGGTCGGCTTCTTTCTTGCGGTGGTTCGGAAAGGGTTGGTCCGCTGGGATAGGATCTGTAGAGGTGCAGCCGCTTGTGAGACGTAGCGCCGTGCGGCCGCTGTTTCTGCCACCCGCTCGCCGTTTATCTTCTCGAGCCATCAACGAGTCACGGTGTTCCACATCTTTCTGGTGAGCAGGGTTGACGGTGGTCGAGGATTCTTGGACCTCGAGGTGTCTCAGCCAGTCGGGGTCCGGTTTCCATTCTGAAGGAAAAAGTAGACGGCGGTTCGCGCAATCTACCCAAATATCGTGAAGGTCGAGCCATTTCCGGCCAATGATGATGTCGTGCGCCATATTGACCACAATGAAGTAATCAGGTAGCGTAGTACGGTTCTGAATCTCCAAAGCGGCTCTAATGACCTCTTTGATGCTTTGATTCGTTTTTCCTTGGTATTCGCTGATTCCACGAGCTGGGAAGTCGCTCGTGGATTCCACCAGCAGTCGTCTTTTCAGTTTCTCGGCAAAGGTGGTACTGATGAATAAATTACCGTTTGCTCCTGTGTCGATTAAGGCATCAGAGGTGGATAAAGACATTCCATTATTGACTAAGGCACATTGAATGAGTAAGGGTTCTCCTCCCAGAAAGGGTATCAAAGTGAATCCTTCTCCGTGTTTCTTTCTATCCTTTTTCTGTTGTTCTGCAACCGACACCTCCCCTGGGAAGGAGTCTAGTTCACCCAGGGTAATCAGTTTCCCAGTTCGTTGGTGGCTGAAGCGGCTGCGGGGGCGGCTGGAGCCTCCTGTCTGTTGTCGTGGGCTAGGTGACGGTCAACAATGGCGGCAACACGGTCGCGACGTTCTCGGTCGAACCGTTCCTTCTCGGGACAATCACGCTTGGTATGACCTCTTTCTTTGCAAAGGAAGCATCTTCCCTCGTTGAACAGTCGGGTAGTCTCTTCGTGACGGTCGCTGATTTGACGAGCGGCGCCTCCACCTCCACCAGCATGCTTAGGAGCGGATCCAGAACCAGACCCCGATCCCCTGTTGCCTCCACCGGAGTTGTGATTCTTGCCTGACTTGGAAGCAGCTTTGTTCTCGTCAGCGATGGTCTTCAACACTTGTCCAAAACCGGAGCAATCCATGCAGTACGACTCAAAGGAGATGGATGAGTCACGGTGCTTTGCGCCCATTTGTTTCTTGTACTCAGCGGGGAGGCGTTGAAACAGCTCCCGCTTCCACTCGGTCTTGGGACGTTGGCACTCGCCAGCCATCCGAACAAACTTGTTCTTGAAGAAGTCAAAGTTGTCGGTATCCTTCATCTTTAGCTTCGTGAAGTTCTGGAGAGCGTTCTCCTCCTGGTTGGGGTCGTGGTATTGACGCCACAAATGGGTCATCAGACCGGAGTAAGTCTCAATTTGGTCCGGATGGGTTTCGCGTAGGTAGGGCATCAAGTCGCGGTAGGCGTAGCCTCCCAGACGACTCTTGACGTACAGAAACTTGTCGCGGTCGGAGGGGTAGTGATCAGCATTGATCTCCAGCTTGTCCTGGATCAGGTCGTACCAGGCCTCGAAAGGGACGTCGTCTTCCTTGTCCTGGTTGTGATACTTTGGAGGATCGGCTTGCTTGGTGCTGCGGCGGGAGCTGCTAGAGCGTTCTTTATCATTAGGGCTAACGTAGGGGGGCAGGGTCGAGAAACGGGTAGAGGACCGAAGGGGAGCCTCGCTAGCGTCCCGCTCAACGCTGGGGAGCACCGTTTCCTTGGCATTTCTCTTATTCTCGTTCCTAGTCACCCCTTTTCCGATGATCAGGTCAGCAATGAGATCTTTCAGGCCCTCAATAATATCGTCCTTCTCGACAAGAGAGTCCTTCAGCTGTTGGACCATCGCGGGGTCGGTGTCGGGGCCGGGCTTCTCCCGGTCGCATCCGTCGGCCAGAGCAGGGACCCAATCGTGAACGGTTTTCAGCTTATTGTTGAGGAAGGAGACGAGACGGTGCAATTCAGATACCTGCTCGGCGCGAGCCATGCTCATAATTGACAGCAACTTGAACTCCTGGAACATGGCCTGGGGGTCTCTGTTGCATAACTCGGTAAATTTCTCTTCGTTCAGATAGTCGGAGACGGGGATATTCGATGAGGGTAAAAGAGACTGGAAGGGGACGCAGGGAACAGAGTTGCGAATGAAGAATTCCGCGAATTCTTCCATCTTTTGCTTTAAATCGAGGGTAAGATCCTTCCGGGCCAAGCGGACGTCGAAGGTCTTTGGGTCCTCCACGATCTGGGTGATGTACTCTGTGAACAGTTCGAAGGACAACTCTGGGTCTTCATCGTTAGTGTTCTTGGCTATAGCATCGGCCAACGCCTCGTCGGGGGATTTGAGCTGGTGATGCATGTGGTACAGAGACTTCTTGCGAAGGAGAGTGGACTTGCCGCGGGAACGTTCCTCATCCAGACAAAGGGCATTGTAGCGATCTTCGTTGAAACGGACTGCGGCGCGCGCGTTCTCCTTGATGACGGGATCGATGGGCTTGCGCTTATCGACAGGCTTCTTGTCGTTGATGGCGACCTTCTTCCTGGGCTTCGGCTTCTCCGCCGTATCCTCCTCTTGCTCAGGGTCGGGATCGGGAGAGCCAGAGCCTCCTTTTCCGTCGCCATCTCCGTCCTTTTCCGTCGCCATCTCCGCCCTCTTTATCGAAGAAGATCTCGTCTTGATCGTCGTCAGAAGCTTCCTCGTGACGATTGTCGTGGTTCTCGGTCTGCTCGGTGCCCTCTCGGCTACCGGCGCTGTTGCGTGTCAGGCGGGGTGCCATCGCGTTGTCGTAGATACTCGATGCCTT